GGGAGAAGGAGGGAGGGAGGGAGGGAAGTGGCTAATCAAAGAATAAGTTTTTGTCATGCCATAGTTCCAGAAACCAAAATTAGATGCTTCAGACACAGCTTTCAGAGAGAGCTCCTTGTATGTCTCAATTACATACCTCATCTTACCATTGCATTCACGTGTGGCATGGTGAGAGGTGAAACCACATAGTAACAAACCTCCTTCCATGGAAATGAGCAGGAAATTAACCTCTCCCCCCCCACCTTTCGTTTCTCTGGCAGGTCTCTGCCTCCTTCAGGAAAGCCGGATGTCCCTTGCTCCTTGTACATGAAAGAGCTGCAGGGGTTTATCGCCAGGGTCATGAATGACTACTTCAGGCACTTTGAGTGCTATGACTTTGTCTACGAGAGCACCGAAGCCATCGCTCAGAGGGCCATTGAGATTTTCATTCGCAATGCCAGCCTGCTCAGGCCCCTGGGTGAAGGAGGGAAAATGCGGCTCGCGGCTGACTTTGCTCAGGTGAAGGAGGGACGCTCAGTCTTAATTCTGCTTGGTCTCCTCATGGGCTCAGGGTTGAAAACACTATCCATCAGCTCATGCAGTGTTGCTGCTTCACGCCCTTCACCTAAACATAATTCTTCTGCATCTCTTTAAGAAAAAAGAACTAGAACCAGATTTTATTTGTGTCGTAGAATGCGATTGCTGACATCTGATTGACGTACTTGAAGAGCAGACACCTCAAGATTTTGGCAATTACTTTGAAAGATACCCTGGGGCATTCTGCAAGGGGAATCAAAAGTCAAGATGGTGTCTGCGACGGCACATTCAAAGCCCTGTCCTTTTTTACATGCTTTGAGTATATAAGCCCCATATACAAGCCTTGGTCAGCTGATTCTGATCTGTTTCATATGTTACAAAGACGTGTTGTGATGATAGAGCTAGTTCGCTTTGTTTTGTGCCTTCGAGTCAGTGTTGACTCCTGGTGACTGCCTGGACACCAGTTTTCTTGGCAAGGTTTTTCGGAAGGGGCTTGCCATTGCCTCCTTCCTAGGGCTGAGGGACAGTGGCTGGCCCAAAGTCACCCAGCTGGCTTCGTGCCTAAGGCGGGACTAGGACTCCGTCTCCTGGTTTCTAGCCTGATGCCTTAACCACTACGCTAGACTGGCTCTCTTTTATTATCCTTCCACATTTATTATTTATTCCAAATTTATTTATTATTATTTATTTATTATTCCAAATTTATTTAGTTCTTTTATTACCTTTCCAAATTATTATTACTCTTTAAAGGTACAGTGACACCACCTCACCTGTTCAGAAAAGGACTACTACACTCCCCCTGTGTTTGTTACTACTTACTAGAATAAGGTTTCTATACTCTCTTGTAACTTGGAAGAAAATTTAGCTAACTTAAAAAAAAAATCAGTGAATGACTAGTTTTGAATTCTCCCACCATTCAGTATTTCTTTTTCTACAGATTGTTAGTGTTGCTTTGTTGTATTTTTTCTTTCTTTCTTATATTTCTCACTGGTTCTTTTCTGTAGGCCAAGCTTTTTAAAAAAAAAAAAAAGCCATAAAGGCAAAGTATTTGGTTATCTTCAGAATGAATCACAATAATGCACTGTACCTCCATTCTGACTCCTCCATTCTGGGTGTTGTCCTCTCAGTGAGTTGAAATTTTGAACATGTTTCATGGATAGACTATTTTACACTCTACTGAGGGCACAAAATACACACCCAAATGCAAAAGGAAACTAACATTTGATACATAACTAGCCCAGAACTAATTATAAATACATTCTGAAAACGTGATTGTTCTTCATTTGTTTGCCTGTTTTTCAGACATGGATAGTGATCCTAATATCATAGCGTACTTACCAGATTTAAGCTTTTGCCATGACTTGAGACTTCATAACATAACATTCATAACAGAACTCATAATAAAATCTAACACTTCAGCAGAAGGCAAGAACAAAGAATGGAAATTCTACCATGATTAAGTGGGAGAACCTAAATTGCCTAGGGTTAGGGTTAGGGTTAGGGTTAGCCTAGGTTAACCCTAACCTAGGCCAAAGCTCTGAAGAGGTGTTGGCAGTTAGTAATACCGAACTAGATGGACTGGAGGCCTAACTCATAAAGAAGCAACTTCTTACGTTCCTGCTGACTTTTCTGATGAATTGAGGGATAGATGACACAGGTACTTCCCATAGAAATTCCAAAAGGGCATTAGTTCCAAAATTCCTATTAAAACAAAAGCAAAACAGAAAAGTTAGTGAGATGCTCACCTTCATTATCTGATTAAGCTAATCAGCTGACTCTCACAGAGGATTAAATCAGGTGGTGGCTTTAATTTCAACATTCCTTTTTTAACTAAGTTGTTATGGGAGCTACAGATAAATACACACATACACGCAGAGGCATCTATGTATTTGGGGCTGTCTTGTTGAAACAGTGTGAAGGAAGCAAATTATAAGCCCCAAAATACAAAACAAGATGTTTATATTTAAACATGTAGAAAGCTAGAACTGAAAGTCGATAACAATCACTTATGCCAAACGTACAGCTCAATTTTCACCATTTAGGGCTGGTCTAAAAAGATTTGCTGAGGTCAGTGAGATAATTTTAAGTGACATTTTCTTGACATTTATATATACCGCAAGGCATTATCTAGGAATTGTTGTGCTTTATGACCTATTCATTATGGGGATCTTTGTTGCTGAATAACAAAAATCAAGTGCACTAAGGTTACAGTAATTTGGAGTATTTTAAGTTGCCATAGTTTGAGAGTCGTATTTTGCCCTTTAAATGCCATGTAGTTCTGCGTGATCAAAAGAAGGAAATGTGAACATGATGGAGTCAGAAACAGACGAAGGAAAATCAAAGATTTCTTTTTTGCTATCTGGCACAAAAATACAGTCTTCAGGCAGGGGTTCTGAGTTTAGCAGAGCAAAAATAGACATTCTTTGACTTCAAAAAGTAATTTCATCTCTGTTGGCTGGAATGAAAATACATTCCAGATTTTTCAGAATTTAATATTTGTTAGACTTTTATCCTGCCTCTTGTACTAACAGCAATAATACTACTAATAAGCTGGGGGGGATGGATGAATTATTTTCCCCGGGGCAGAAAAATGTAAAGAAAAACAAAAAAGTTTTGGTGATCAATTTTTTTTAAAATTTTGCTAGGACCAGTGAATGAACACTGGTGTTTATTTTTTGTTAAAATAATGCTTCTGCTGTATTCAGTATTAGGGTATATTTTGCACAATCTGTCCAGTAGCAGTTGATACATCCAAAGAAGTGAACTGGGATGGTGAGGAAGCTAGGAATCCAGCTCTGTGAAGAACAGTGAAATATTTGAATGGGATTAGCTTAGAGAGAAGACATTTAAGAGAGCCATCATATCAGTCTTCAGGTATCTGAAAAGATGTCACATAGCAAAACACAACACACACACACACAGATGGAAATTCCAGAGGAGCAGTTTTCAGTTAAACATTAGGAGAAAGTTTCCCACAGCAGTGATTCAGTTGTTTTAGGAGTGGTGCAGTCTCCTTCTCTGGAAATATTGAAAGAATCTGGATTGTCATGAAGGATCTACAATGCAGGATGCTATGGTAATAACTCTGACAATTACCACAGCATCCTGCATTGCAGATCTTCCATTGAGTTGTGAGTCAGAGTAGAGGGTCTCCCTAGTCCCTTTCAACCATATGATTATGTTACATGACATTTAAATATATTAGAATCTTGTAACATCTCAATAGCTAGCACACTTTCGACAGTAGAAATTTTTGTGAGTCACAGGTCATCATCTAATGAAAGGACTATTATTTTGAGATAGATGTAGGGTCATAATTTGGATGAACGAATTGTTGGTGGTGTCAGTGTTTAATCCATGGGAAATGGGGTTGAATCTCTCTTGTGACAGTGTTCAGAGAAATCTCTCTTTGTAGTTCTTTTGCTTAAGAATGGTGGATCTTGCATCAGTTACATCCTAGGGAGTTCCCCCTCTGGATTTTGGACTGTAGAAACTGACACTGGTCAGGACAATAAGTTCCCAGTGTTCAGTAGACCATAATACTTGGAACTTTGGCAGATCTTGGAAAAGACTAAGCAGAGCAAGTTCTAGTGGAGATAAGGAAATCCCAAGATTTCTCTAGGCTAGACTGGGAAGCCAAAAATACATCCCAGAAGAAGACAGGGTGGAACTACTTGGGCAGAAAACTAGAAGGACGTGTCTGTGAAGTTACCGGGAACTGAGCGTGAAGAATTCATTTATTAATTACAGTATAATGATGTGGTGGCTGACAAGGCTACAAAAAGTGCACTGCTTACAAAGCTAGTGGGGTGTTGGTAACTAGAGGTGTGCATGAAATGGGAACTGTGTTTTGTTCTTACAGAACAAGCACTCTGTGGCAGTCTGGCTGAACCAAAACCCAGAACCCTTTGCTTGTTCCAGGTTTTGGCTGCGTCAAACTCCAGGTGGGTCTTATGGGGCAAGATGCCGGGACTTGATTTCTCTGCCGTCACCGTGCACCCAACTGGCCCAGCACTTACCCTTTGTGCTACCAACACAGACCCCTCCAGCCCACTTCCACCCCCACCTTCACCCCAGTCATTCCAGCATCTCTGCTCCGGTTGTTATCCATTTCAGTAAGTTCTACGAAGCAGAGTGCTCCAGTATATGGAACAGTAATACTAATTATTAGTAATACTAATACTATAGCTGTCTCGTGCCAAATTCTAGCCACAACAGATGTTCATGCACATTTTGTGTGTTTGTCACAAAAGAGAATGGCTCATTGCAATGTAACATGTCTCCGGAACAGGAGGATGGCTTAGGGCACAGGGACAACCTGAAACTCTGGGTTTGTTCAGTACAAAGCTTTAATAATGGAGCAGGTACAAAGATTTTATTATTATGGGTCAGAGCCAAACATTTATAAATGGTGATATGAAATTAGTAAACCATTGAATCATTTGTTACAGAGCGTGTAGTACAAACAAGGTAAGAGTTAAATTATGCTCAGTTGTCGGTCCCCAGCTGTTATAAAAGCTGATGCAGAAAATGCCTACTGTCAAGCTCAATGTGTTGCCATACAAAATTTTGCCACATTATGTGTGATAGAATTGTTTTTGTCTAGCAGAAGTAAGGAAGTGTAAAATTGTTCCAACGGCCTGGGAATTGCAGCAGAAGAGGTGTAAGATACTTAGCATGGCATTCTCGGTAAAGTGTACCCTATAGTAAAACAGGCATAACAGTCTCGATCGATTCTAATCCATGGGGCAAATACGCTCCTTATTTGGGATGTTATGAAATCTGCCCTTTGGAGCAGAGCAGATCTTGCTTTCGTGAATGCTCTCCTGTACCTTGGAGGGAGAAGAGGTAGCAGGTGGGTTTCCCTCTGGGACGGACAAAATCTCTCTCTCATGTCCTGTGTGGGAGACCAATTCTTCCTGATGGCCTGTATCACTTCACTACCTTACTATCATTACGGCCTGCCCATAAAAGAATAAAAATCCAGGGCAGAATCTGAAGGAACCTATCTTTAAAGGTGAAACTGTGTTCACCTGGATTGGAAATGATCACAAACTCTATATTGTTCTTCAGCCGGTAATTAGCAATTGGCTAACCACTGCTTGTTCCTACCCTCCGCAACCAGACTCCAACCTTAAGGTTGTGCTCACATTAAGAAATGGTGAAATTGCTCTTAGGAATTTAATTTGTATGATTTCAAGCAGTCTGTCGTTAAGGTAGGGGCCCTGTTGTATGCCAGATAAAAGCTGAGCTGAACTCATTTAATAACAAGTATTGGCCCACCTCCTTGATTATGATTTTTTGTATGATTGCTGGGCTACCAATGCTGCATAATCCATTTGAACATTCCTGGTTCCTAGAGAGTGAAATGGTGCTCCACGATGCAGGAAGTGTTTAACCTGTCCTGTCTTAAAGGCAGTGATATCCAATTATGCAACATTAGTGTTCACAGATCTATTGACTATGGGTTATACCAGTGTTTCTCAACTTCAGACACTTTAAGATGTGTGGACTTCAACTCCCAGAATTCCTCAGTCAGTAGGCCGGGAGTCGAAGTTCACACATCTTAAAGTCACTGAAGTTGAGAAACACTGGGCTATACTGACTCTGAATTGTGGGAATTGTATTCTCAGCAGATCTGGACAGTGCAATATTGTGAAAGACTGCTGGGATTCAGTGAGTTAATCTGCCTCTAAGATCTGCTCTGCCCAGTCTTATTTAAGACTCTGAACTAGCTGATTAAGACAAAATTAATTCCTCTTACAGATGGAGTTAGCTGTGGCACCCCTTTGCAGACGGATCTCTGATCTGGGAAAGTCATACAGACTTCTAAGATCGTTCAGGTAAGTGATGTTCACAGCTGAAACTGTGATTCAACTGTTTTCATTAACAGAAATCAGTGGCTTCTCATTTGTAGGGGGTTTTAATTAAAACCCTCTGGCAGCATCACATGTAAATTACCAACAAATTACTTTTTTTCCCTTTAAGGTTTTATTCAGAATGTGACTACAACATGGAGAAATTTGCCATGCAAATGTCAGCTAAATTGTACCTTTTTGCTTTTATTTTTGATCTCAATTCTTGTGATAATGAGCTGTGTAGTCACATTAAGGGTCCCCCCCTTTATCCTTTTTCCCCCTCTTCGAAGCAGAGAATTTATAATGTGATGGCGGAGGATTGTTTAATTAAAATAATAAGCTGTTACTGCAAACAATCACCTACCCGATTCAAAAATAGAGGAGTATGAATCCTGCAAAGCAAATTGGCAAACAGTTGCATGCTGTGTTTGCTATTAGTTAAGTGTCATTAAGCCAGGTTCAATCTCTGGTAACTAATGATAATCAGTAGCTCTTCCAAGGACATCCACCTTACCTGTGATCTTCTCTTCCTCCTGCTTTCCTCCACCTTGCCAAGCATCCTAGTTTTTCTAGTGGATCATCTGCTTGCATCACATGCCCAAAGTATGAGAAGTTTGTCCACATATGGTGATTTTGTTGTCAGTGTAACACAGTGTTGCTCAACCTTGGCAACTTTAAGATGTGTGGACTTCAGCTGGAATTCTGGGAGTTGAAGTCCACACATCTTAAAGATACCAAGGTTGAGCAAAGCTGGTGTAGCATAAAAAAACACTCAGAAAGAGGCTGGTGGTTTATTCAGCTCAGTTGTAGCTCGTGAAAGCTGATGCCTTTTAATAAAATGTATTAATCTAAAAAGGTGTTATCAGACTCCTGATTTTTGGCTACCATGGATGAACATGGCTCTCCTCCTATAGTGTCTGTAAATAAAATAGAATTCTGTTCTTGGCTTCTGACTTTTTGTAGCTGGAGAGTGGACTCAGAGGAACAAAATGTGAGACTAGGCTACCACTGGATAGAACAGAGCCCCCACCCACAGAGGTCCAGGGCTGAGACATTCCAAGAAGGTAGTGGGGAAAAGTGAAAATGTGGTTATGGGAACACTGTAGCTGCAGAAACTAAACTTAGTCTCTAGTTGGGCACTGTGTGGCCCAGCCTCTACTGTAACATGGGCATCCACCGTGACAAGCGTTCTGCTACTAAATTGTTTGAAAGTCTTAATGTTCTGAACTTTTCACCATCTCATGTAATGCTTCCTCCTCCCCCAGACCAATGCTTTTCCAGACCAGCGAGCTTATTTCTAATAGCCCGGCTGTGGGAGATATCATTCCATTCAGTACCATCATCCAGTTCTTATTTACAAGGGCACCACCTGAATTGAAATCCCCATTCCAGGTAAGGAGATTGTGTAGACCTTTCTTACTCAATATGGTATAATGTTGGGAGACCATTCCTTTCCAGTTGCCATAACCTGTACGGTGTGTGCTTTGGCAGATTTTGATAAGTTCCTGGAAGAAGGTCGCAGGCATTTTCTATTCCGTTTAATTTCCAACAGCATAATATTTCTAAGCTGTTTCCAGAGAGGTGGAATATTAATGGTGGCCTTTCTTACATTGTTATGATCGCAAGTTCAGAAATAAAGGGTATAAATCCTGAATACGTAATGAAATCCATCAGGAAACATTTATTCACCGTTGGCAGAGGGGATTGTGTTAGGCTGTTGCAGCAAAAAACAATAAAAAGCCTTGAGGCACCTTACAGGCTAACAAAAGTATTATGGCATAATATAACATTTCTAAGCAGAAGCTGTTCCAAAGCTAGTCCTTTATTATCACTTCTATTCTAGGGGCTAAATGGATGAATTTCTATGTTATGTTTCCTTCTATGTTAAGTAGTTTGTTAATTAAAAAAAATACTTTTACGAGTAAGAAAAAATGGAGCATACCAGATTTATTGAAAGCTGTCTGTAGCGTCAAGAACGCTCTTATCCAGCCCAAGGCAGCTAGGGAAGTTTAAGGAAGCAAGAACAATGCAGATTTCAGGAAGGTGTCTTTATTACCAGCCGGGGTAAACACAGAATCTGGGAAATGGTGAGAGGGATTTCCTAGCCTCATTGATAACGAATGTCATTAAGGCAGGATCTCTGTGAATGACTTGGAACACAACTTCTCAGGGTTCTGGCTACCCTGGACTAAGTTGCCATCTATGACTTAAGTTTACAATGGATTTCCCTTCTTGTCTCTTGATCCCTGCTCTCTTTTCCATGCCTTTCCCAGCCTCTCCACAACCTCTCCCAGCTACACCAAAACAAAACAGTGTTGAATCCATCACCAAGCAAAATTTCCTTGTGATCCATTCTTTGGCCACTTAATTTGTTTGTAGTTCCAGCATTGCCCAATGCTAACCAGATTCCAGTGGGATAGTGTTTGTATTTAAAGTTTCATTATATTAAGTTCTGTACTATAGACTGTACAATTACAATATATATCACAGTACTGTATGTTATTTGACGTCTTCTCAAAATCTGTCTCATAGGTTCATGCTTTTGTTACTATAATAATTTGCTAGTACCTATCAGTTATTTGTGTCAGGAATATATGCAGATTAAGATAGATATTAAAAAATTATATATATATATATACACACACACACACACACACACACGCGCACACACACATACATGCAACTTCTAGAAATAATACCTATTTTTATTAACACGGAAGAGAGCAGACTGGACCATTGCCCGTTATTCCCGGTGGCTAGATGACCATCCAGCAGAGAAAGATCGACTCATTTTAATACGGTGAGACACATTTTACTTTTCAGTTAATTTAGAAGTTATTTCAGGATCTCAGTTTTGGCAACCATAGGCTTCCTTCCCTGTTATGGATAGCTCATTCCTAATACTATAAAGACAAGATGTATTTGGTGTACAGTTTAAACAAAACTTGCTGTAAATGTTATGGCTTTCTTTTAAGCTGTCATAGCTGCATTGGTTTTGACTTCAGCACAGAAAGGAGCAATCTGGTTTTCAAATTACAGAATTAAAAATTCTTTAAAAATTCTTCAAAGAATTTTAAGAATTCTTCTTTAGTATTTCTTCAGGTAATTCAATGAATTATATACAAATAATCCAACATCTGTTTAAAAATAATATTTCATATTTGTAATTATTATTAGATTCAGCAACTTGCATTTCATACCTGGTGTCCACAAAAGGGGTCAAAAAACATCAAGGTGACACATGATTAAGTGGGCCACAGCCTATTTCAGTTGTCTTTAATTATGTTTGATTGTCAGTTTTAATTTCTTAACTAACTAGCCTTGATATAAACTGCTGAGAAACTTCAGGAGGAGTGGTGCTATATAGAGGAAACAGAAAGAGAAGCCAGAGTTAGCAAGTATTTTAGAAAGTTTCTGTAGAGAGTTCCCAGTAGGTGAAATAATGATGGGAAAAAAATACTCCAGCACAGGGTCTGTATTAGTTGTGTTTCTGCATATGTCCTTTTATGTATTTAAACCTCTAACTTTATTAGAATTTGTACATTAAAGCAATATGTTTGCATGTTAGACTGATTCAAGCTTTCTGTCCATTTCTGGTATCTTACTTATTTGGAGTGCCCCTACAGATGGGGGTGACTGAAATCTCTCCTTAAGATTTGTTATTTAAACTTATCTGAGTGGAAGCCAACCATTTACTTGACATTTAAAAGTTAATCTATATCAGTGGGGTTATAGCGATGCAACAGGGAATAAGGATGTTCTGCACCCCTTGCAACTTAATCCAGAAAGGCCGACTCAAAATGAAAATCCAACCCTGATCCAAGGCTGTGTTTAAGAAAACTGCGGAATTGTGTTTTCTTGCATTAAAGTGTTTGTGAGTTTGGAATCATCTTTGGCAACGCAGCTTGAATTTTTATCCAAGGTGGGAAAGAGAATCCCTTCTCTGGGGGATAAACCATGTGGTTAGTAAGAGTTTCTTCTGTCTCCCTAGTACTTACGCCTCTCCCAAGCCAAGCAACGTAACGCCAACCAGTCTTACTACAAAATGGCTTACTCTCGTATACTGAAGCCAAACAGTCACAATATCACCTCTGGGTCATAAATGCTTAATTATTTTCTTCCTGGCAAACAATTTTGGATGATTAGTTTGAGTAGAGCTCTTACGCAGTTTGGAACGGCATCTGTAATGAACTGCACTCATCAACTTGTAAAAGGGCTCTTGGCTCTTCCGCTGTTTTCACAGACAGTCGCTTTTGTAATTATTTGGACTAAATGAATCAGAGCTCAGATTACTGCATTTTGAGCCTTTGTCTCTTTCTCTCTCTCCTTCCTTTCCCCTTTCTCTCTTTTTCATATTGCTTGGCCTTGATCTTTTAAAAAGTCAAATCACTTGGTCTTATACCTGGAAAATCAAACTTGGCACCTTTAAGATGTGTGGACTTTAACTCCCAGAATTCCCCAGCCAGTATGCCTCTGTTTCCATTGTGTCATCTCTAAAAGGAGAAGGCATCATCTGTGTACGTTTACACACATTCATGGATTCCCCTACAAGGAAAATACCTTGTTCCTCACTTTAGGCACCATTATTCACACTTCTCTCCCAATAAATGAATTAGCATACAGTAGATGACTCAGAAAATAAGATTATAATTCTCATAGTACCGGTATTCACTCTCTTGTAAAACTTAATTCCTTGTGAAGTTATACATTGAATGGTTCTTATTCCCTTACAGATATGAACGTTGGGATCTTATGTGGTAGTGAAATCCTTAAGGCAGTGTTGTCCAAACTTGGCCACTTTAAGATGAGTGGACTTCAACTCCCAGTGGACTTCAACTCTCCCATGCCGGCTGGGAATTCTGGGAGTTGAAGTCCACTCATCTTAAAAGGGCCAAGTTTGGACAACACTGGCTTAAGGGAATGCACAGCACACACAGAGAGTCTCTGTTAAGTTACAAAAGCTTCATGAATTACAATTACTTAAATATTACACAGAGTCTCATACTCACTTGCTCTGCTGCAAAACTGGCCGGTAATGTACCGTATGGGGGTTGGGGAATGTAGGAGAGCTGGACAGATGCTGATGGCAGACGCCCACATGAAGGTCACCCAGTAGGTTCCTGAGCAGCTTCCCCTTTTATCTTTTGCCCACCACGTTCCATCTGCACCCGTTGCAATCGTCCAGTCACGTAGCAAGGAGAGCACGAGCCATCATTGCAAGATCCTTTTACCCTTGTTTTCTTTGTCTTCTGTCTTTATCCATCTCCCTGCAAGATCTGAAGATCCTCTGCCTCAATTGTTTTATATCATAGATTTAAACTGATCAGATCTATAGTCTTGTCTGTTTAGATCTTCATGATCTGAAGTTCCTATTCCTATTCCAACCCTTTTTCTGAGGCACTGATTTCTTCTACCTAAACTTCCTAATTCTCTAAATCTGTGGGAAGACTCTTATTTCCAATTAGCAGGTGATCGGAGATAAGAGTCCCCTGCAACATACATGCGCGCACGCACACAGACATACAGACACAGAGTCAGTGGAGGCTGTTTTAAAGTTCATTGCCATATGGGAAGCATTTTTTGAGGGGATCATTGCTAGAGAGGCAAGAGCTGACCTAATTTAGATCTTAACTATGATCTGCATTCTGCAGGTTGACAGGTTATCAGGCATGGGTGTTGGAGGGATAAATAATTTTGTTTTGCTTTTAATTTACAAGTTTATTTATTTCAGCAGATCTAGGGAATTCCCCTAAGGACGCAGAACCATTTTGGAAGAGTTATCGTATTTTTCATAAGACTTGGAGCTATACCCTGATCTGTCTTGCATGAAGAGTTATGCAAGTTACTCCAAATGTAAGAATCAATGAGAGTTAGGTGATCTTCAGCACAGAAGCAGCTGTCCTTGCTCCCAGTTTATTCTGCTGGACATGTCAGCACTAAAGGATGTTAGACCAAGTAGTGAGGCCACATAGTGATAGAACATCGTTGAACCAGCCGCAACCAAGTTTCCCAAGTACTGTACTGCCACAGGCCATTCTCTGTGGAGGAACAGCTAGACATGGTCTTCTAGTACCATAGCAGTTCCTCATCCCATGTTTTATGTTCCAGAAAATTGGATTGCAACAATCTGGTTTTTGTAATCTATCTCCTTCCCCTTCAGGTGTTTCAGTTCTTCTGCTCTGTCTAGTATACATTTCAGAACCAAAAGGAAAGGGTAGAATATTATTTGCTCCCCCCCCCCATTCTCACCTTTGAGTTGCAGCTAACAGCGGCTGACTCCATGGTTCTCGGGTGGCCCTGACACCTGTTTGTCAGTAACATTTGAAGATTTCAAGAGCTACAGGTCAATTTTTATTGATCTAGGTAGACTGTTGGTGTATCTTTTTAAAGCACTAAAAAGGGGTGTAGCACTATCACTGTCAATAGCTCTCCAACCTGTCAGGTTTTTTTAATATTTTAGTATTTTTAATTTATTCCATTTGTATTCAGCCAAATCTGCCAAAGACTCTCTATGATTTACAAATCGCTAGTGATCTTGTCCTTTCATGAGTGAAAAAGAACCAGAATTGGTGCTGGGATATTTTTTCATGTAAAATGCTGTATAAAAACACACTTCATCATTGAATATCCTTTTCCATTCTTAATGTTGTTGCTCTGAATCATTAACAGCACTGTCCCCATTAGCTATTTTATTTATTGATTGATCAAGTTTATATGACTGCCCATCTTGCACAAACTGACTCTGAGCAGCATACAATAAGACCAACAATAAAATCAACAAATCAAGCTAGCACCCAAATTAAACCCAAGATTAGATTACAAACAATATGATAGAGAACCTTAATTCAAATTCTGACTAGACTAGGCTGCCCATTTTGTAATGCGCCCCTTTCCCCAAAAATATGCTTGAAAAAGTTAAAATTAGTATATTCATCCTTATACTACTGAGCTTTTATATGAAAAGTGAACATTTGATGTGTGTGAATCTGTCTCCCAAAAAGGATCCTGTCTGCAAAATGTTTATACACACTTTTCCAACAGACAATGGCAATTTTTCAGGCTTGTTTGGATTACGAGCGCCAAGCTAATCAGAAATCAATGGTGAATATAAATCAGCATAATATATCACTCAGCAAAAATGTATTGGCTTGCTGGAGAAAAAAAAGCACGCTCCTAAGTCCTAGGCTCTGCTCCCTGAGTTGGTGTCTTGTACCACCAGCCTCGGCCTGATAAAAATCACTCAAAACGGGTGACGACTTTTTGCAGATAGTGAAAAAGCGCTCATGAAATATATCAATGTTTTAATCCAATACTTGCTTTTAAAATTCTGAAGTTAAACTACAGGGGGAGGCCAACAATGTTAAAAAGGTGGGCACAACTGGGTGATTGAAGCCCCGCCCCTTTTTTAACGTGCCCGCATTAAAAAGGAACAAGGCATTGCTCACCCATTCACACCTGCCATTTTGATACTATCCTCTCTCACACACACACACACACACACACACACAGGCAGATGTCCTTGAATAAAGTCCTGCAACTCATCCGACGGGGATGTTAATGGGAACAAGCATGTATGTGAATGCCACTACAGAATGCCAGGGTTTGATGAGAAGGGCAGCGGCTTAGACCTAAGCCACACAGAAATCATCCTTTTTAAAGTATTGTTAAATAAGTTTGTAATAATAAAAAAGTTTAATTCCAGTATATTTTCTTTTTAAACAGAGGTGCATTAGAAGCTTATGTTCAATCCGTAAGAAGCAGAGAAGGCAAAGAATTTGCACCAGTCTATCCTGTAATGGTACAGCTGCTACAGAGAGCCCTGTCCGCTCTTCAGTAAACTGTTTCCTGAAAAACACTGGAATCATGTGATCAACAAATACTATATACTTCTCAATTGATATTAGTAGTATCTCTCTCAAACTTGCTCACACATACATGTTACAGCCTGTTTGACTTTCATACTTAAATACATTCTGCATATCTCAGCTTTTTCTAAATGATATTTTTATATTTTCTTGTTTTAATTTAAAACCAAACATTTCTATTCCAAAGGCTTTTCTGCATTTGATAAAACAAACTAATCCTAAATTGACAAGAAAAAAATGTGCATGGATTTACTATTTTCTTTTCAGCAACAATTCTATAGCTTTAAAACATTATATACACACACACACTTATAAAATATTTCATATTACTTCAGTGTAATATAATAAATATGTACAATGTTATATTATGATTGGAAATGTAATTAAAATATTTCTACATGCCCTTGTTTTTCAAGTATTCCTTCAATTCAGCAATTACTAATAGCAATTCGCAAGACTGATGTGATACTTCGTATTTTATATACAGAAAATATACAACAATAATTTTTACAAATTTATTTGAAATAATACATGAATACAGTGTGCAAAATCATAGGAGCAACATGTAGACATACATATCAGGTGCTGAAATTTATTGTTGTCATTCTTGACAGAAACACACTATTTAGTAACATTAAAAGCTATGTTGTAAATGTTCACAGCAAAAGTAGCCATAAATCTAATATATCTGCTCTACTTTTAGATAGATGGAGGGAAAAAAGTAAAGTGCAAATATTGCACCAACAATAAGTGCAAAGTTTGTCCCCACCATAAAAGATGTCTTATGGCAAAATAAAATCTTTAAAATTTGCAGCATAGAAAAAAAATTAACATTAAATGATGATACTATGAAAGCACCATTCTTTTGGAACAGTGCAATCTACTTATGGGTTTAATCTTTTCCAATACAGCTTAGGCTTCTACAAGCCTTTCATTTTACTAGGAAGGTATCACACCCAAAATAAATTATAAATGTGACACCTTCCCATACAGACAACAATTTGCTACATATCGTGTACATTATACTATTCACTTTGCCACATATTCTGATATCTGGTTGGCACTGGGCAAACTAGAAATTCATATGTCAGAAAATCCCAGCTTGCAGATTTGTAGTTAATTACATAGTTTGTGCAATACGTATTAATCAGCAATAAGAATTTATCTATAAACAGATGTTACATGTTTTAAACTTCCCCTTTTTGTGCATTTTTCTTAGAAAATAAACTTTTATACAAAGCTCCTCTTCTTCCTACTATTCTTTAGCACCACAGGATATCCATATTCAAGCCTATTACACCTGATAGACATATATGTAGTTTGGAAGAAAAAAATAAGGCAATTTGGTTTTTAAAATGTTGATACTTTTAGCTTGCTTAATGCTCTACTGTAATAAGCAAAACTTCATTCCTAGTGACTCAATGCTGCCAATATATTATAGTTGCACCTCCACAACAAATCATGAAACCTTGATCGTGTCTTCCACCACCATGTATTTAGGATTCCAACCTGATGCTACTGTGAACCCTGTAAATGAAGACAGATGAAAGTACCTATTAAAGCCAAAAGACAGACAAGGGTTCAATTTGGTCATGGAAATACGAATTACTATTCTTGGTTCAATTTTATTATAGCCAAAAAAATTAACTGGACATAAAGAACACGCTGCTGATTTTGCTATAGTAAATTATTTTGAACAAAGTTATCATAATTGGCATGCATTCATCCTGCATCTGCCAGGGTTGAAGAGTCAGATTTTACCTGTATCTGTTGAACATACAAACACATAAAGACAAATATCTTCCAGGATATTCATATGCTTTGAAATATTGGAAGTGAGGCCTGTGTGCACCCTATCATGTGTTTAACCTGCACGTGTGGATTGAATACCTGCGGTGCTTCAGACTGTGATGACTGTTCTCTCAGCTGCACGTACCTCACTAGCACCCTTTTTGTGACCTTCAGAATAAATGACTCAAAACTTTCAATCAGAGGTAGAGTTAGTTAAGAGGTGAAATCACAACCATTTATAAACATCTCCTTGGTTTTTTGCAGAATTAAAGCAGCAGCTGCAAGTGGACTGACCAGCTATGTTTATTTTTTCTTAGCAACTTTTCTCAGTGTCATCTTTACAGGAATAAAGGTGGGGTGATGGCTTCGAGATTAAGAAGCAATTATATATTTACGTGTGGGGGTGAAGCAAGGAAATGAACTTCACTGCCATAAGGCTGAGCTACTGCCTTGTCAGTGTCCAAATCCTGACACTGGGCTGGATTGGCACATGGGCTTCCTTATTGCCCTCCAGAAATTACTATAAAATTAAGCGCAGCAGGGATTAGAATAGACTCTGGAGCAGTCCGTATCTAATTCTTGTGTGTATTCTGGCATAATAACCCTACTGGTGTTACCCTTGCATTGAGATCATAGAGCAAACTTAGGCAAACAGTATCCCTTTGAACAGAGAGGGATTCTCGATCTGGACAACGTTTCATAGGAAATGTAGAGGCTTATATCCTGTCAATCTTTATAAATGCTTTCTTCCAGTAAGATGTATTCTACATTAACTTGAAGTACCAAGATATATAGGAAATGTCAACAGTAAAAGACAACATACTGAATTCGTTCGTTTCCGTTTCCAGCAATCAGGATTTAAACGTTTTTGTTCTTCAGCCAAGGCCTTGGCTTCTAATGTGTACATCCGTCTTTCCTCGTTTTTCATTTTCTTCCACCTGTCACCAAGTATCACACTTATGGCTCTACAGAAGAAATATTGGGAAAACACTCAATTCAAGCAAGCAAAGGAATGTTAATTTTTCTGTTTCCTTCCTATATGAGGAAAAAAAATAGATCCAGGAAACACTGAAGCCACTTGATTATTTCTACCTTCAGCACAATTTTAAAAAATATTCCACAACACTCTTATCATAAGCAGTAGCTGCAAAACTTTTTTAGATTGACATTTTCAGTTGTGTTACTAGGATTATTTTAAAAAGCCTTAACAAAACCGGGGAGCTGTTTTTTTCAGGAACATCATACACCTTACTGGAATAGAATACATTTCATCTATACATCCATTAGGGCTAGATTGATGGACTAATAAACAATTTTCATAGTTAATATTGTTCAATTATCCCAAGTCCATATATATCTTTGTAAATTCATTTTGCACAGGGGAGTTACAGATTTTGAAAGGGTAGAGATATTTCTAACGACAGGCACATACAGTCAGGTCCAGAAATATTGGGACATCGACACAATTCTAACATCTTTGGCTCTATACACCACCACAATGG